TGATTTTGTGGGAGTCAAGAAAGGTCATTTGGTGGATGTGCGAGTAGCAACTTCTCTTGTACCTTCAGGATCCTCAGCTCCAGCGCGTATGCAGCAACGTTCATCACATTTATCAAGGTCGGGTGGCAAGTTGGTCTTAGGAAATTTACTGAAAGGGAAGGAGAAGGGGCAGCAGGAGCCGCCTTCGGTAGGGATACAGGCGTCGGCCAGTTTGGGGGCTGCTAGTTGGGGTTCGCAAAAAATTCATAACCAGCAGCCTTCCACAGTAGTTGGAGAATCAGTTGAGGCAAGGCAGGTTGATGGGACATCTGATGGAGTGCTTGTGGGTGAGGATCAGTACCTTGGGGCCATTCTTGAGGCCATGGTAGAGGCCGGAGTGTCAGCATATGGCAATGTATTGGGAAGTGTTATGACGATGGCGGTGTTGTCTGACGGAGAGCTTACTCCAGTGCGGCGCAGCAAGCAGAATGCGGACGTGGTTGATGTACACTCTCTTGAGAAGGCAGAAAAAAGAGTTGCCATAAAAAATCTCGAGGATCCCGAAGGTAATGCTAAGGCAGTTATTAATTCAGTATGTTCTTTTTCTAGTGATCGTATTGAGCAAAATTTAGGAGGGGTGGGGAGTCTGGGTGGTAGAGAAAACTTAATTGCTGGTTCTATAGCTTTGATTAAAGATGTAGAACAAGAGAGATTGAAACCTTCGTATGTTGGTAATTCAATTGATAAAGAATGTGAATCAGAGGAGGATGAGGTCGATCCTGATACTTCCACCATCGATCGACTCTGTGGTGACTTGACGGAGGAGGTGATGGATGTAGTAATGTGGGCGTTGATGGAGTACCTGTTGACATACCCATCAAGGTGGCAAAAAATAAAAAGTTTAAGAAACTCCTTAATAGGAAGGCGTCTGCAAAGAAAAAATTGTTCCAACGAAAGGGATCTTCTAGAATTGCAGAGGTCTACGTGACCTGGCTAAACATACCTTTTTACATGATGTGGCCGAAGATAGGAGACTTGATTTTATAGCTTTATCAGAAACTAACAGAAATAGTTTCTCAACTCAGTGTCTGGAAAATTTCTGTGCGGGTGCTGATTTTGTTTGGCATTGGCGATGTCCCCGGGGTATGTATGTGGGGATGCTAATGGGGATAAATCGAGAAAGCTTCAAAGTAGAAAATATTATTGATGGGGATTACTACATAAAATTTGTCTTAAGAAATAAGGTAGATGGTTTTCGATGGGCCCTTTTCTCTGTCTATGGCGCAGCACAGGAAGAGCACAAAGAGAACTTTTTATCAGAGTTAGTACGTGCTTGCACTAGCTGCGGGGATCTACCTTTTATAGTAGGGGGGATTTCAATATAATTAGGAACCCGTCGGAAAAAAATAATTCAAGGTATAATAATAAATGACCACTTCTCTTTAATGCCATTATCGAAACTCTGAATCTAAGGGAACTAGAAATGACGGGTAGAAAGTTCACTTGGGCTAATTATGCTGAAATTCCAACCTATGAGAAGTTAGATCGTATTTTGGTGACAACCGAATGGGAACAAAAATTTCCGTTGGCGACCGTCCAGGCTCTCACTCGAGAAATCTCTGATCACACACCACTCTTACTTGATGAAGGAGAACCATCTCACAGAGGCAACGTTAGGAATTTTAAATTTGAGCTAGGGTGGCTGACAAGGGATGGTTTTTTTGATTTGGTAAAAGAGGTGTGGGAGTCTGAGAATAGGGGTAGAACACCCTTGGAACGGTGGCAGTCTAAGATAAGGAGGCTGCGACGTTTTCTTAGAGGTTGGGCTCGAAATTTAGTCTCCCAAAACAAGAAACATAAACTAGACCTGATGGATAAAATAGATATCCTCGACAGAAAGCCAGAAACAACTTTGCTATCATCTCAGGAGGTAGAGCTTAGATATCATCTTAAAGGGCAATTAACTAAGTTGCTAAGAGAGAAGGAGATTTATTGGCTCCAACGATCAAAAGCAACAAAGTTGTTACAGGGAGATGATAATACTAAGTATTTTCATATGTTGGCAAATGGGAGACATAGAAAAACAAAAATCACACAACTAGAACAGGAAGAAGGAATTATTGTTGGGGATGCGAAATTGAAAGATTATATAACTGATTACTACAAAAGATTGTTTGGACCTCATTTACAGAATTCTTTCTCATTGGACGAGACTCTGAGGCATGATATACCTCAAGTGTTGGAGGAGGAGAATGAAGTATTGGTGGCTCCATTCAGTGAGGAGGAGGTCAAAATGGCAATCTTTGATATGGAACATAATAAGGCACCGGGTCTGGATGGCTTTCCTGCAGAATTTTACCAATTCTTTTGGGATGTTGTCAAGCAAGATTTGATGAGCCTCTTTTATGAATTCTATATGGGGAGACTGCATATTCATAGTTTAAAATTTGGGGTCATTACACTATTACCCAAGATCACGGATGCGACTAGGATACAACAGTACAGGCCTATTTGTCTCTTAAACGTGTCGTTCAAGGTTTTTACGAAGGTGTTAAATAATAGAATTTTGAAAATGGCAGATAAGTTGATAGGTCCGTCTCAGACGACTTTTATTCTGGGAAGATATATAATGGAAGGTGTTGAAATACTACATTAAACAATACACGAGCTGCATAGGAAAAAGAAAGATGGAGTGATCCTAAAGCAGGATTTCGAAAAAGCGTATGATAATCTTAAGTGGCCTTTTATACAAGTCCTCAGAATGAAATGATTCTCACCGGTTTGGTGTGAATGGATTTCAAAAGTCATGTCTAGAGGGAGTGTTGCAGTAAAGGTCAATAATAATTTAGGCCATTATTTCCAAACAAGAAAAGGAGTGCGGCAAGGGGACCCATTATCTCCAATCTTGTTTAACATAGTGGTTGACATGCTGGCTATACTCATTTCACGAGCAAAAGAGGCCGAACAAATCCATGGAGTGGTTCCGCATTTGGTTGATGAAGGGCTTTCAGTCCTTCAGTATGCGGATGACACTGTTATCTTTATGGACAATGATTTAGAGTGGGCCAAAAACATGAAGCTCTTGCTTTGTGCCTTTGAGCAATTATCGGGACTCAAAATCAATTTCCATAAGAGCGGATTATTTTGTTATGGAGCAGCTAATGCTAATCAATTTGAATATACACAAATTTTTGGATGTAATGTAGGATCATTCCCTTTTAGATACCTAGGAATTCCTATGCATCATAGAAAACTAATGAATAAGGACCGGAAACATGTGCAAGAAAGATTTCAAAAGAGATTGAGTGGTTGAGGAGTAAGATGCTTTCGGTGGGTGGGAGGCTTGTCCTCATTAACTCGGTTCAGAGTAGTCTTCCTATGTTCATGATGTCCTTCTTTGAAATACCTATAGAGATTTTGAAAAAAATTGGATTATTTTAGATCTCGGTTCCTTTGGCAGAGCGATGAACACAAGAAGAAATATAGATTGACAAAATGGGAAGTAGTATGTACACCAAAAGACCAAGGAGGATTGGGTGTCCTGAATCTAAGTGTCCATAATAAGTGCCTCTTAAGCTAGTGACTTTTTGAATTGATAAATGGTGATGGAGTCTGGCAAAAATTGCTTAAAAATAAGTATTTAAGGGACAAGACTTTGGCTCAGGTTCAATACATGCCCGGGGACTCTCAGTTTTGGGTGCAAGTGCCATTTGCTGGGCTCTTTGGTTAACTCAGAATGATGTTGTGTTTGACAAGGCCATGACACCGTCTTATTTGCAGGTTATCTTCAAGAAAATGTATTGGACCAGGTACTGGACCTTACTTCAGAAGGAGGCCATTTCATGAAGGTGGGCTGTAGGACTATTGAGACGGTCGCGATGGAGGTGTTTGCTAGACACGGCTGGCGATTTAGAAACAAAATTGCTCTTTAGTCTTTTCCTTTTGAGAAATTTGTTGTATTCATGGCTCAAAACTTCGTGTTTGAGATTCCTTGGACTTTGTTTTGCTCGCTTGTAATAATGAACAGCCATATGCGTTAGTCGATGCAGTAGCTGGGATATTAATATATTCCCTTTTCTAAAAAAACACAAAAGATGGAAATGATTTCTTCTACTTGCAGTCGTCTTAAGCAACCCCCTGTAGCACTGATTTTTAGAGGCAGCCCCTTAAGGCAACCACAGGTCACTTGTAGAAATAGTTTTTGTACTAGTATTTAAATGTTATTTCTGTCGTTATCCTTAATACAATTTATTGGTGATAAATTTGAACAAAAGATGCTTTTTTATTTGTTGGACAACTCCTTTTGTCCATGTCTGGAATCTGCTTTAGCATATGGTGTGAGTGCCAGTCCTTTTTCTTCTTTGATTAACAATTCTTATTCCCCTAGTCTGTAATATGCTCGAGCAGTTGGTGTGAGTGCCCTTTCCTTTCTTGATGTACAATTCCTATTCTCCATGTCTGAAATCTACTTCATTAGCATATGGTGTGGGTGCCGGTCTTCTTTTTTCTCTTTGATGAACCATTCCTATTCTCCATGTCTTTTCTTCTATCTGAAAGTTTTTTTTCACGAATCTTCTGGGCGAAACACTAATAATAATACTCATGTAGCCTACAACAAGCAGCAAAGCGTTGGCATCAGCATATCACATAGACAAGATACCCTTCATAAGTGCACGCTTACGAAGGGTATCTTGTCTACGTGATATGAAGTGCTGCACGTTATATATCTCCCTTGTGCAATCAACCTCACAGTAGCTAGCACAGTCTTCCTGCTCTCGTAGCAATATTGCCCTGTTCGTTTGGCTGATAAGCCATGGCTGAAAGTACTGTTGGCTGATTTGTTGTGAGAGAAAAATACTGTTCGTTGGCTGAAAAAGTATGGCTTATAAGCCAAACGAACTGGACAAATTGCCATTTGTTGCCCTACATGGCTGCACCCAAGTCCCAACTAGCATGTCCTACTGAGTACCAAGCAAGCAAGAGCAACGGAGAGCGAGTGTAACCGAGATCGAGCTTAAACCATGGAGCTCGCCTTGGGGGCCATGGCCGGCCTGGCTCCCAAGCTGGGCGATCTGCTCATGGCGGAGTACGTCGTGCAGAAGGGCCTCAAGCCCGACATCAAGTCCCTCTCCAGGGAGCTTGTGACAATGAAAGCTGGCCTGGAGGACTTGTCTAAGGTTCCACCGGACCAGCTCACTGAGGTGGAAAAGCTTTGGGCACGGCACATCCGGGAGCTGTCTTATGACATGGAGGATGCTGTCGATGACTTTGTCCTGCGTGTGGCCGGCGGAGAGTGTGCAGCTGATGCCACCGACGCCAACATCTTCAAGAAGATCCTTGGAAAGGCCACCGCTGCGGTGAAGAAGGTCAAGCATCGCCGTGAGATCTCTGACAAGATTAAAGACATCAAGAAACTCTCCAACGAGCTGGCTGGGCTCCGTGCCAAGTACACAGTTAGAGGCCCGGGAGCTGATCTTGCCGCGACCACCGGCATCGACCCCCGTGTCCTCAATTTGTACAAGAAAGAGTCAGATCTTGTTGGCATTGAGGAGTCAAGGGACAAAGTCATAAGGATGCTGTCTATAGGGACCAAAGATGATGCTCATGCTCCTGCATCTGAGCAAAGCCTGAAGATAGTGTCTATAGTTGGGGTTGGAGGATTGGGTAAGACTACTCTAGCCAAAACAGTGTATGATATGCTTAAGAACCAATTCGGTTGTTCTGCTTTTATTTCTGTTGGTAGAACTCCTAATCTGACAAAGACATTTGAGAAGATGTTAGTGGAACTCGATAAGAAGTATAAGCAAGTCCACATGGCCACATGGGATATAGAGCAATTTGGAAACGAACTGCATGAATTCTTACAGCAGAAGAGGTATGTCCATGTCATTCTCCATTCAGTTGAGCTCAATTGTTTTTAATCACTAGCAGAGTTTGAGCGGTTTGTACGTTCCTATTTTACACCGAGCCCTAGGCCTAGGCATTCAGTGAAATCGATTATGAATAATTTCAATTTCGGTTAAATGTTAATCAAATTTGCTGCCAAATATCTAGAAAAATCTATGTAATTTCCAAAATTAATAGATTGGATCTTTAAGTTATAGCACAAGTTAAAGTAATTAACAAATACCGCTCTCCCTTGGAGTGGGTTGCAGTTTTTCCTTGCTATAGAATCATGTTCATGTTGTCTTGCGTCTGGTTTAAATGGATACTCTATACAGACTTAATTTGCCAAATTATTCATAGCTCTACACTCTTGTGTTAAATTATAGGTACTTCATTGTTGTTGATGACATATGGGATAAAAGATCATGGGAAGCGATAAGATATGCTTTGAAGGAAAATAATTGTGGAAGTAGAATAATCATGAGTAGTCGGAATTTTGAGGTTGTTACAAAAGCAGAAGAGGTTTACAGACTAAAACCTCTTTCTGATGGAAACTCTAAGAAATTATTCTTCAAAAGAATACAGAGTCAGTAAGGAGGAAGTCTTGATGGTGTATCTGGTGAATTGTCTAGTAAAATCATAGATAAATGTGGCGGCATACCATTGGCAATCATTGCAATAGCTAGTTTATTGGTTGAAAGACCGTATGAAGACTGGTCAAAGGTTTATGACTCTATTGGTTTTGGGAATGAAGACAATAGAACCAAGATAGTGTCATATAGCTACTATGATCTGCCTTCTTATCTAAAGCCATGCATCTTGTATCTAAGCAAATTTCTAGAAGATTCTGCCATTTATATAAAAGGTGTGATTTGGATGTGGATAGCTGAAGGTTTTGTCCATCTTGATGAGAAAGAGGAGGGTAGCCTATTTGAGGTTGGAGAAAGATACTTCAATGAGCTTGTCAATAGAAGCATGATCCAACCAATAGACGACTCATCTGACCAGTTCACACAATATTTCCGTATTCATGATATTGTGTTTGATCTCATTTGTAAGTTGTCGGGTGTTGAAAACTTTATTACTATTTTTGATAGCAGAGAGCAACATGCTTTTCCGGACAGTTTAAGAAATGAGAAGAAAAAAGGCATGCCTCGTTCGGACAACAAGGTACGACGGCTGGCTGTCCAAAATCACCATGTGCAGTGCTTCCCTGAAGACACCATGGACATGCTAGACGTGCTGAGGTCACTTAACATTGAAAATAGTAAGATTGAGAATATGGTCCCGCTTCATAGGTTTAGAGTTTGTCGTGTGCTCCATTTACAAAACTGCCATGTCCCGATCAGCAGCTTGAAGCATATAGGGAGGTTGTTGCATCTTAAGTACTTAGATATATCTTTCACAACTGTTGAAGAGCTTCCTAAGGAACTCGGGCATCTGAAGTCTCTACAGGCACTGGTATTAGTCAATATCGGGCTAGAGGAGCTACCACCGGCTGTGTGCTCACTTGCACAGTTGATGTGCCTGGTAGCTATAGGGTTCGAAAGGTTCCCAGTTGATAGGATTGGTAACCTAACGTCCCTGGAGGACCTACGGTTAGAGAGCATAGTTGGCCGGAGTGCCGCCGAGGGCCTAGTGGCAGAGCTTGGCAAGCTGACAAAGCTGAGGGTGGTGAGCATCACCTTTTCTGAGGAACTAGAGGAGAGCATGCAAAAAGCTCTGGTGCGGCCGGTCTCTGTGCAGTCTGCGGGAACTGCAGGAACTAGTGCTTTCTTCTTCAGGATCACAGCAGGGTGCCATTGTGTGGGAAGACTGGGAGGCACCTATGCAGCTCCGGTGCCTGCTTATACAAGGCATCCGCTTCACGCGGCTCCCTGGGTGGATCAATCGCTCCCGCCTGCCACGCCTCTGCTTCTTATATCTGGCATGTACGCTGCTGAAGTTCAGGACCTGGATAACCTAGCTAGATTGCCAGAGCTGAGCTACCTCCAGCTATGTGGTTTCAGCTGGCCTCCAGGGTATACTGTTGGTAAGGATGGCTTTAGGAATTTGAGGTTCTGCCATGTGGGCACAGTGCTCAAGTTTCCTATGGGCGCCATGCCAAGGCTCGAAGAGCTGTGGTTTCGCGTTTATGCAGGGTATTGGAGTTGGGTAGTAAATGATGTGCTGTTGGAGCAGTTCCCAACAAAGGATGAAATCGAAGATCTTGACTTGGGCCGGGATAACCTCCTTTCACTTGAGAAAGTCACCGTCAGAGTTGACTGCTCGGGTGCTACTGCCGCAGAAGTGCAGGAGGTGGAGGCCATGGTCACACGTGGCGTGGAAAATCATCCCAACCGTCGAAGGCCTTGTTTAGTTGGCGAATTTTTTTGGGAAATAGTACTGTAGTACTTTTGTTGTTATTTGTCAATTAGTGTTCAATTATAGTCTAATTAGGCTTAAAAGATTCGTCTTCTGAATTTCGTCTAAACTGTGTAATTAATTTTATTTTTTATTTATATTTAATGCTTCATGCATGCGTCCAAAGATTCGATGTGACAGGAAATCTTGAAAAATTTTGCAAAATTTTGGAAACTAAACAGGCACCAACTATAAAAGTGGATCGAGCATGTGAACAAAATATGTTATCTGACGAAGAAAGCGAGGATCTGGTGAGTCCCTATCTATTAAAAAAATATGTTTAATTTGCGTGGGTACTATTTATTGACCTGTTTACTGCATTCGGCTCCTTGCAATTCTCAGCTTCAGCAACACATTCAACCACGTTGCCGTGTGCTCCCGTCGAAGGTTTGGTTCATCAGCAACCTGCGGTGGTACCGACTTCTTCAGAAAGCCGTTATTTCCATCGACTGTGCGCCTGCCTGTGTGAGGTGGAGAAAGTGGAAGCAGCTTTTTAGGCGTGCAGCCGAGGTTCACCGTAACCATCCGACTATCCAACTGATCAGAACAAACACCGACGAAATGGTCTCCTCATCTGACCATCCCGACACAGAGGTAGGAGCCTGGATTGAATTTTTTTTTCAGTAGTTATTAATGGAAACCTTAGCTTTGAATATATAACTTACCATCGGCGCTTATTTTCCCTTCCCAAACTCCAGCTGGACGACGATCATTTGCTTTGCAAACTCCAGCTCAGTAATTGATAACTCTTGTTTCTCCAGTCCTTCCAACCCAGCAGGTAAGTGTCAGTATGTGGATGTGTTTTATTGCTCCAAATTTTATTGCTCTATCTAGTTTATCACGATTCACTGTCATGTATACGTGTCAGTATGTGGATGTTTTTTTACATGTGCATGCTCAGTTGGTTGTTTACATGTGCATGCTCACACATGTTTTCTGTGTGTTGGAACTCTGAATGTGCAAATTGAAGGTACTTGGTTCCGAATACTAGATTGAGTGATTACATAATGCTGCATAGACAATCCCAATGCCAGAGAAAAATGGGCATCCAACAATGATCTTATACAGTGAGTGGTCGGTTTGTATTGGGATAATGGATCCCAACAGAGTGAGTAGAGATAGAGTCTCCGCTTGGGCGAAGGCTCAATGCAAGGATGAGAACTCAGGTGGGCTCAAACACAATTAGGGTTTCATAAATAGCATTTAACAACCTTCCTTTTTACATAGGGTTCACTCCCCCTTTATATAGGCCACTGTGCATGATGAGGTTCATTTACAATCGTGCCTTTAGGCAGTACGAGCATATTCTTGGGATATTTCCGTACATAAGCAAACCTCCGAGGGCATCTCGGGTCTCCTCCTTCACCAACCGCCTTGCTCTATGGGCCTTATCCCGCACCCATTGGAGGCCCATTTGCCATTTAGGATCCATGCGCCATGGGAGATCCCCTTTCAGTCGGCGGAGGCCCTCATTTGCCTTTGCCCTACATCGAGCCTACGCCACTCGGGGCCTTCGCCGTCGTCCTTGAGCCTTCGCCTGTCTAGGGGGCGCCGGCGAAGGCTTCCTGCATAATCCCTGCAGATTATTTCTCATATGATTGACAAAATGGGAAGTAGTATGTACACCAAAAGACCAAGGAGGATTGGGTGTCCTAAATCTAGGTGTCCATAATGAGTGCCTCTTAAGCAAGTGGCTTTTCAAACTGATAAATGGTGATGGTGTCTGGCAAAAGTTGCTTAAAAATAAGTATTTAAGGGACAAGACTTTGACTCAGGTTCAATACATGCCCGGGGACTCTTAGTTTAGGGCTGGCCTTATGAAGGTCAAGGGGGAGTTCCTGTCGATGGGTAGGTTTGATCTTGGTGACGGATCCCAAGTGTGTTTTTGGGAGGATTCGTGGATAACGCCACGCCCTTTCAAGACGCTCTTCCCGTCACTATATAACATTGTGAGAAAGAAAAGTGCATTTGTTAGGACGGTACTGTCTACGACACCATTAAATGTAGCTTTCAGGAGATCTCTGGGGGGGTTAATTTGCAAGAATGGCACAATGTGGTGGCCATGGTTGCAGATGCACACTTAAGAAACCAAAGGGGTCGCTTTGTGTGGGGGCTGCATCAAAAAGTGTTGTTTTCAGTTAATTCCATGTACAGAGCATTATTAGGTGTACAGGCTTTACCTTACAACACTTTAATTTGGAAACTTAAACTACCCCTCAAGATTAAAGTCTTTATGTGTTACTTATACAAAGGCGTAATCTTGACCAAGGATAATTTAGCTAGGCGACAGTGACAAGGAGAAATGAAGTGTTGTTTCTGTTCCACCAACGAGACCATACAACATTTACTCTTTGACTGTCATTATGCTAAATTTATGTGGAGAATTGTTCATATTTCCTTTAACCTGAAACCCTCAACTAGTGTACACAATTTATTTACAGGTTGGTTGGAAGGGTTAAATAGGAAAAGGAAGCCTCAAATTCTTGTGGGTGGAAGTGCCATTTGCTGGGCTCTTTGGTTAACTCGGAATGATGTTGTGTTTGATAAGGCCATGCCACCGTCTTATTTGCAGGTTATCTTCAAGGGAATGTATTGGACCAGGTACTGGACCTTACTTCAGAAGGAGGAAGATCGCCATTTCATGAAGGCGGGCTGTAGGACTATTGAGACGGCCACGATGGAGGTGTTTGCTAGACACGGCTGGCGATTTAGCAACAGAATTGCTCTTTAGTCTTTTCCTTTTGAGAAATTTGTTGTATTCATGGCTCAAAACTTCGTGTTTGAGATTCTTTGGACTTTGTTTTGCTCGCTTGTAATAATGAACAGCCATATGCATTAGTCGATCTAGAAGCTGGGATATTAATATATTCACTTTTCTAAAAAAACACAAAAGATGGAAATGATTTCTTCTACTTGCAGTTGTCTTAAGCAACCCCCTGTAGCACTGATTTTTGGAGGCAGCCCCTTAAGGCAACCACAGGTCACTTGTAGAAATAGTTTTGGTACTAGTATTTAAATGTTATTTCTGTTGTTATCCTTAATACAATTTATTGGTGATAAATTTGAACAAAAGATGCTTTTTTATTTGTTGGACAACTCCTTTTGTCCATGTCTAGAATCTGCTTTAGCATATGGTGTGAGTGCCAGTCCTTTTTCTTCTTTGATTAACAATTCTTATTCCCCTAGTCTGTAATATGCTCGAGCAGTTGGTGTGAGTGCCCTTTCCTTTCTTTGATGTACAATTCCTATTCTCCATGTCTGGAATCTACTTCATTAGCATATGGTGTGGGTGCCGGTCTTCTTTTTCTCTTTGATGAACCATTCCTATTCTATGTCTTTTCTTCTATCCGAAACTTTTTTTTTTCACGAATCTTCTGGACGAAACACTAATAATAATACTCATGTAGCCTACAACAAGCAGCAAAGCGTTGGCATCAGCATATCACGTAGACAAGATACCCTTCATAAGTGCAGATATAAAGTACTCTCTCTGTCCTATAAAAAATGTCGTTTTTTACTTTTAGATTTCTTGTTTGACTGTTCATCTTATTTAAAAATTTTATGTAAATAATATTAATTTTGTTATGACTTATTTTATCATTAGTGAAATTTTAATAATAATTTATTTATTTTATTATTTATATAAAAAATTTAAATAAAGTCTAAAAGTAAAAAATGACACTTAATAGGACGGATGGAGTAGGTTATTAACATGCTCTCTTGTTCTCCCTTGTGCGATCAACCTCACAGTAGCTAGCACAGTCTTCCTGCTATCGTGCTACTGTAAGGGCTCGTTTAGTTCAAAAACTTTCCCAAAAAGTGATATAGTAGTCATCACATCAAATCTTGCGATACTGCATGGAGTATTAAATGTAGACGAAAAAAAACTAATTGCACAGTTTGGTTGGAAATCGCGAGACGAATGTTTTGAGCCTAATTAGTCCATGATTGAACACTAATTGCCAAATAAAAATGAAAGTACTACAGTAGTCAAATTCCTAAATTTCGCGGACTAAACACAGCCTAAGCAATAGGCAAGCACCGCCTCCTTTGCCCATCTGCATCGTGCAGCACCACTCTCACTGCTCACTGTGCACAAAACACACCTGCCAGGAACGAACTTTGTATTTTTTTAACCTTTTTCCCAAAAAATATTCACATTTATATCCTTAGGTCCCGTTCGCTTGTCTGAAAAAAGAAGTCAAAACACTGTAGCGGCTGGTTGTTGTGAGAGAGAAATACTGCAGCAGCTAGTTGATGAACAGTGCTTTGTGAGGAGGAGCAGCCGGCTGGTCTGGAAAAACCAGACCAGTGAACGCAACCTTAGACGTCTTTTTTGCGTCTTTGGATCCCAGGGCATCGGCGACTAAATATAATATTACAACTTGATTCATGAAACTCAATTGTTCAAGTTTCCAAAAAACCAACTTTGAAACAAAATATAAGTATATAATATTTATATTATCACTATTGTAGCTTAAAGTGAAATAGCGGCGCTATTTCAAAGCTATAGCTAGGCAATTTAGCGGCCCTAAAGCTTAATATAGCGGTTGTACCTGACATTGTGGCAAAAATAACAATAGCTTAGCATGGTCTCTCTTCAAAACCTAAAGCGACGTTATAGCGCCGCTATAGCCCGCTATTTAAAACCATGCTTTTGCTGCAGTTGAGAGATGTATCGATGGATGTAACAAGAAAGAAATTTAGCGTCCAGCTCGGCGCCAAGCCTTGTGGGGCCGAGGTCAGTGCTAATCTTGTGGCACCCGGTTTTAAGAACAAAACCAGATACACACCATATGTGAGTCCAGTAAGTCAAATCTCCCATATAGTTACAAATAAGGGTAATATCAATAGACAATGCTCAGTATATAATGTACTTAGTATAAAGAATATAACCTTAGATAGCAAACAACAGAAAGACAACTCTGATATTCAGGCGAAGACTCTAAATCCACAGAGACAACTGACTTGTTGATTACAAGCCTAATTCCTCCAAATTCTAGCAATCTGGTTCCCATCTAGGATTTTTCCAAAGATTTAAAAAGTAAAGCAAGCGTAAGTACATGTCGTACTCAACAAATATAACATGGGGTTCATGAGGCTCAAAAGGCTGACACTGGTTTATCTACGATTAGTTTTTAATGAGTCATCTTTTAGCAATTGAGTAGCAACAAGTTTATCACAAGCCCATATAAACACATGATCAGGTAAACATGAATAATGAATAACATAAACAGTAATCATTAATGAGCATC